AAATAATTTGTCATCAATGATTAAAAAAATAAATAAAAAATTAGCAGTTAAAAGACCGACAAATGATTGTCTTAAATTTCAAACCAACAGCCACTAAACCACCAATTTCTTGTACTAAATACACTTCAAGCATCAATTTGTTGGCAGTAAATACAACCATAGCTGTCAGATCATCAAAAACCTGACATCAGTATAGACATTATACTACAGCAAAATCACCGTCCAGCAATGATCATAGATGCCAACAACACGTTTTCCTTTTTTTTCAAAAGCTTCCTTCCCCCCTGTCTCTACTTGTAGTTACGACAAAAATTTTTTTTTTTTCTAGTTTCTTTTTTCGCCAAAACATCGATCTCTAAAGTTACCGACATGTAGAAAACTAATGGTCTTTTGGTCTGTAGTTGCTTTAGACGATCTACCAATGAGACTGAAGAACAAAAACAGTTTCTTGGAAATATAAAAAAAAGTTCAAGTAATCAAAATATAAAATGTTGAAGAAATGAAAAATTCTTCTTAAACGCCACTGTAAGCATCAAACAGCGATACGCTCGTTGAACTGTAAAAGTTTCTAAAAAAAAAAAAGAAAAACAAGAAACTAAAGCAGTTATGATACTGCATGTTAAAATAGCAGCTCAAAACTGTACCAGGAAAAAAATTACAAACAAGCAGCAAAGTTCAGGTGGCAGTTGGTTATTGAAATGAATACTCAGTTAAATTTATAGATGCATTTTTTGGCCAAACAATTGCAGACCAATTGATTAGAATAAAAAAAAAAAAGAAGAAATTCCGGTTAAAATCAACTAATTGTCAGAAAAAAAAAAAGAGAAGAAAACAATGACCTGAAAGTTATTTTATTTTCTTTAAAAAATAAATAAATATACCTATAAATTATTTGTTTTTAGTTCGGATATTAAGTAAACTAAATTTAAAAAATTGATTCCACATCTAAACTATGTACCATACAAAGCAATACATATCAGAAGTTAAGCAGTAAAAAAACCTAAAGTTAAATACTATGCTAACAGATACCAAAATATCTGCCTAAAGAGAAGACTGTACAAAAGAAAAAGATTGATTAATTATAAATAAAACAAGCCAATGGGTAAATAAAATGTTTCAAAATTTTAGCATTAAATAAAGCAATCGGTTCTCATCACTGTTCAGTCACATATTCATTCATTCATCACCACAAATCTGCTTCTGTATGCAGTCAACCAGACAAAAACAGCAATTTTAAGCAGTTAGAATCATCAGACTTTTTTTTTTCTAAATTCTCAAACAATCAACAACAGCTTTAACAATAAAAAGAATAAATCCGGCATTTTAAGCACTACACATCGTTTTGCAAGTTACTTTTCGCTTTCCTTCTTCTTTTTTAATTCAACAGCAACAAAAACAAATTTCTTACCAAATATTACCGATAAGGTTATCTCAACGATGATGTAAAATCGATTAAGAAGCCAAATAAATCATCAATATTTTTTGATTCTTCATGTAGCAGCAAAACTGATTGGTTTCAAAAACAATAACTCCAATATACGAATTTTGTCAGTGTATCAAAATAAATATTCTTTGAGCCGATACTTAACAAACGTATACCACCGTCTTATAGGGAAAAATGATTGAATGTTGCCACAGTAAAAGAAATCACATCATAAATTTTCCCATTGAAATGATGTCACTAAAGGTAAAAAAGAAAATTAAAACTCATTTTTCCCACCTCTTTTCTTTAAAAAAAGAAAAAAAAAA